TAAATCTCTAAAAAAAATTAGTGGGCATTTTCCGTTTAAGAACTCTCGACGGAAACTTTAATAAAGATAAAATTTGTAAGATATATAAAGTTGTTTCCGTACTTCGAAATTGTTTGCTCTTATATAAATGATTAACGTTAACGAAACAGGCATGTATTTATGCACGTGCCTCTTTCGTTAACGTTAATCATTTCTTACATTATTTATTCCATAATAAGAGAAATATGTAAATTAATGTTTTACATTAAGCTGTAATGAATGCGAGGATATTTTCTGCTTCTTTTTTTAAAAAATCTTTCGAGCAGTAATGTAACTATAAATTTAAAAGTATTTCTTTTTTTTATCAATAGCCGTGCAGTTTTATTATTTAAAACTCGCCTGATTTTCAAAGTAATTAGATAGGGTATGTATATAATTTATAACGATAATTATTGATATTTATTTATCGAAATTACCATACCATTTGCGAACAGAAAATTTTATCACTTGCTACAAACTACTCTCAGTGCTGGTTCTATTTTCTGAGATATAAAGAATGCCCTTTAGAAATTCTTCTTACTTAATTGAATAAAGATTTATAGTTTTTTATTTTAGTTAATTTATGCAACTAAGTTGCCTCAGTAGATTGTTCTTTTTTTTTATTTACTTTTTTCGATTAAGAGGTTCATAACCCTTCTTTAATCGTAGGTAGCTTTACAACAATCTAATTAAAAATTAAGAGTACATATAATTTAATTTAATTTTTTCTTCTTATTCTTCTAAATTATTAAAATATTAATATGTATTTGGTAAAAAAATTAATTAAATGTTAATAAAATCCTACGTTAAACGTAATGAAAATCCTTATACAGCACTTTCTGTAATTTATTATTTAGAAACATACCGTAAATAATACACGAAAGTTAGTTTTTAAAAATATATCTTTTATTATAATGTCAACTCAAAGATTAATCTACATTTTTGTCGAAAATATGAATAATTCTGATAACAGATGGTGGAACATAAATTACTTTTACACCTCTCGCACCTCCCATTAATTCTGAATAGAAATATTCATTTACTATACCTGAATGACTACGCCAATATAACATTGAAAACTTCATAAAGAGTAATAAAAAAAAAACAATTTATCATATCTCTTATTATTCTAAGCAAATATTTTCTTATAAATATTATTTTTTAATTTTTCTTGCGTACGAAATTGTTGCTTCAATAACCTGCTACGCGAAATGTGCACCTGCCCATCGATACGTATCAGTTGTCATTGTGAATGTCTCTGAGGACCTCAGCGGGGTAACTTCGTGGGTGGAAGGGCCGTACTTCCAAAACTAAAGTGAGTCTTTTTTTAAGAGGGCGTGTTATAAAGTGTCTTATATGTCGCCACGCCTAAGTGACTTACCGTTATTGCATCTCTACATTTACAAAACTATGTCAAGTTTGTTTAGATTAGAATCCAAGAATGAATTTCTGTAATTCTATCAAGTTTCCTTTTTCTATTTTTCATTGTTGAATTATGACAGAATATTTATAATGTTGAATAGAACCTTAGAACACGGTGTCTAATCAATATTCTCGGATTTTTATTTTGATATCATTATTCATCAGACTACATTTTGACAATCCATTACAACTTTTCTATTTGTGCTTAATTTCTGTAAAATATAACTACTAATATATCAATTATAAAGTCTTATTTTTATACATATCTTTTCACCTTTAACCTCTTTTTTTACTGAATTAATTAATTTAAAATGATTAAGCGTGTGAAGAGAGAAAGAGAGAAAACGTCATTATCCATTTAAAAAATTTAACGTATCTAGTTGTAAATTCCATTGGAGTCTTTAACAATCGTCATTGATATTCATCGAAGCGTGGAAGATTAATCGAAAGAAGAAATATAGAAAGATGGAAGGCGTGCCTCGTTCATCATTTGTAGATAAATTTGAGATATTTCGATGCATAAGCAAAAGGTTGTCTATGCGCGACGAAGACACCTCCACCGCGTCAACACCCCATTTCAGAGATAAGATACTCTTTCTGGATACTAGATGAGAAAAATTTTCTCAAAACACTTTGAATTATACATTAAGAAGAGTCAAACACAGACTATGAAGCCGAATTTACATATATAATCTTGTAGTTTTATTTTTCTTGTTTTTATGTAGATCAGTATTGGTTGCAGCATTATACAGATCATTGTGTGCTTATACAGCTAATACAAATGATATTAATCTTGCTTATTCGATAACAACACTCCTTTTTCTATTATAATTCCTCTATCAACTTGCATGCTAGAAGCATCTGACGATAACGCTGAATACAATTTATATCACGCATCTGTTAGACTAGTGCTAATTTTACTATAACCGAAATTACTACTGTATTATTAATATACATTGTGCGCATTAAAAATAATAACAAAATTTCTCTGTTCAGATATTATCATATTTGATGTCTATCGAGTCTAAAAGTAGATGTGAAAATTGGAGCTGTGCCCAACGTTCAACTCTAAATTATGTAAATTGTTTATGAAGTTTAAAAATCTGTTTTTTGTATAATAATTATAGATAATAAAATATTATTTATATTCAATACTTTTACAATACTTAGTACTGTATTAAAATAAAATCGAATACATAGTATATAACTTAGATAAACTTCGATTTAACACCATCATTCGTTCTCTTTTGAAGTAGGTACTATTAATAAATCCAGTGTGGCGCTAAATTGAGGCTAAATCAAACAATAAGAATTTTATGTAGTAATGAAATCTACACACAATTTTCAGTATGAAAATCACTTGACTTGGTGATAACAATGGTTTTACGATTTAACATCGTACATTTAGCAATTAATAGACACCAGAGTCCTCTGTAACTCTCCAGTCTGTACTAGTGAATAGCGAATTGTCCAGTGTCTGTTTAGTAGAGAAGGTTCGTTTATAACAGTTCATTGGCACTTTACAAGAGTAGCGCTATTTAGGAGGTTGTTATATCGAAGTTTGATTATATTCATACTTAATTTACAATATGTAATTGTATATAGGCTATTAAAAATAACTGAAATTATAATAAATATAAATATTGGAAAATTTTACGTAAATAAGCAAAAATGAAAAGTTGATATTATTTATATAGAATATATATATATAATTCCGCAAAACTATTTCGATTTTTGAATATTTATGCAGCACAAGTTTAATGATATTCGGTCTTGTCTCATTTTATTCTTTGCATTTTGTGAAATTTAAGAGCATTAATTGGATGAATAATAAAAAAAGTAATTCAAATATCTTTTCTAGAAATCAGTATATAACAGGAAAATGTCTGATATATTAAATTGCAAAATTCTTTATTCTATACATTTGAACTAGATAATTTGAAAAATTAATAAAATAATTCTTCGATAAAAATTAAAATTGACACAATTTTTTATTCTGATTAACTTAAGGTGTTAAGCCAAAAATTTTACAAAAACTTTTGACTTAACACCTTAAGTTTATATGGTTTTTGACACAATCTATAACTTTGTTCACATTTAAGTTATATATATTTAAAATTAACAATGTCACCTTCATAATCACAAATTTTCTGTTTTGTAATTGCTCTACATAAAAAAAATATAGCAAGAAATTATTATTTTGTATAGTAAAACGTTGCGGTTTCATGTTTCTTTTACTTTTTAATAAATTATTCGTTAGTGTAGGTTTATAGAACCCATAATTTAAATTATAAATCTTCTTAGAGAGATGAATTATCTAACCTTTTTATCTTTCACGGTGACTATAAAAGTTAAGGAATGTTTTAAAATTAATTTTTAACCAATTTAAAATCCACTTACGTAAGGAATAATTTGATTTATTAATTTTCAAAAGTCACTTCGGAGACACGAGTTTAGTTTAAGCTACTACAGTTTATTTTCTTATCGGACGAAAAATTTGTAGTGACTTTAGAAGCAAAACATTGTGAAATTTTAACGGACCATTTAATTTTCTAGAGAATTAAGATGCCCAAAAGAGCATAAGAAAAATGATATTTATAAAAAAAAAAAAAAGAGAGAGAGAAATCTCTCGACTCAATTGCTTTCTATGTCAAACAATTAGATGGATTGATGCGTCATTTTTCTTTTTTCTAATTAAATATTGCATCTTGATTCTGTCCGACTGGACAGATTAATTTATATAAAGATATTTAGCTTTATTGTTAATTATTAGAATCGATTTAGATGTTGTTTTGCTCTATTTTGGTACTTGACACGTCCACGGCTCCTCTTGTTTGTTTTGGGAGATAACCCAGACTACAGAAAGAACGGAGATATCGATGGCCCATGTTTGTTTTGGAGTACATCACCATCTTGCTGTGAATCAGCATTTCTTGCTCGATAACATTCTCTCTAATTCTATGAGACAAATAACATAGTATAATGTTCTTTCAATAAATTTATGTCCTAATTAGAGTAGTGAGTAGTAGTCAATGCCCTTATGTTTTATATAGAAAAAAGTTTTTTCAACCCAAACAATGTTTATAAACAGGATGATTTATGTGTTAATAAACGCACATTAATGTAAACAATTATTCGTTTAATGAGTAAATAATTGTTTTATAATTTAATTTCGAACTTTTATAAGACATTTAAAATAATTTTCTATGGTGTTTCTTAGTTAATTTATCTTGTTTCTTAATACAAGAGAAGTACTGTACATTTTTTACAAATTAATATTTTAAATTTTACCGGTTATAATAAATTAGCAAATCTGTCGAGTAATTAATTTAATAAAAAATCTAAACTAGATTTTTCGTAGACTCGAAGACTTTTTCGTAATCTTCAACTGGGAAATTCGTCTTTGGGTGCAACTTTGGTGTTTTTCGTAGATTAATCGAAATGAAAGGTAAACGATCAATAGGAAGACGAGTAAAAATTCCCCCATACTTCGGTGTAGGTGGCTCCTCCTGGTGGACAGGAAACGTACCACTCAGTAATCAGGCCACTCACCTCCGGGAGAGTTTGTCGTATCGATGTGCCGGCTTCTTAGATGGATATACGTACCGTGTTGATGCCATAGCCTGGACGAGATGAACTGTGCCAAGTGGATCTGGCTCACTATCCTCATTATCGGTGTCGTTATGGCAACCGATTTAATATCTCTAAGAACAGCGAAATTGGGTGAGTAAATCGTGTTCGTTACTTTTTTTTCTCCTTCTCTTTTCTTTACACTCGTGATTAATAATGAAAATAATAATTTTTAAAATTATCTCTAGTCAGAAAAGTGTGATTTAGACAGCTTCTTTTCAGTTTAGGAAAGTACTTTTATAGTGACAAAATAGTAAAATTATCTCTTAAAACTTTTTGTGTTAACACTTATATTTTCACTTATCTTATTTATCTTAATAAAATATAAATTTTAATTGTTAGCAGAGTGAAAAAGGGCTTTAAATATATGTATACAAGCGAAATACTTCATTATTTTCTTTATTCATTAACACGATTAAGACATGTTGAGTTGAGATTTTCTCGAAGTAGCGTCGTAACCTTGCATTGTATGGATTGTAGCAACCTTGGAAATGCAGTAGCACAACCAGATTAACAAAGTTAAGAAACATCACTGGCGATAGTAGAAATCAGTCAAGCATTGTGTATTTCTCTACCGACACTCCTTACTATAAATAAAAAGAATCGGATAAGCCAACTGCTAAAAATTGGCAGAGAGAATATCCTAATGGTCATCTCTTCCATCTCCATTCTTCTAGAATCTAGATAATTAAGTATTATTTATTCGTTATATTTATATAATAATTTATAAGTCGATCGTAGCGTTATTTGGCTTAAGGTAAGAGGAGAGAGAACGGTGTAGTTACATAAGGTCAACTCGCAACTAGATTTTCGATTTTCTGATAATCTCGACAGTTAATCGAGTGTATAGAGAACACGATGATCACGTTTGTCACGAATAGTTAAGAGAAGATATCGAGTGAGATGAAGGGCGATGTCATTAAATGTCTCTCTCCTGTCGTTGCTCTCAACAGTCCAAGTACCGAGATGAGTATTGGATTTCAAATCAAGTCGACAACACGTGGCTACATTTAAGAAAAAGTTTTTTTCAGTGCGATAACACCGGAATAGGAATATTAGTGTGTGCTTCGAGTTAACCTTGAAAGAAAGTCTCCTTTTTTTCCCCTACTCCTTCTTTTAAATCAGGCTCTACTTGCTAGATGGCGCCGTCTTAAGGCTCCACTTAATTCAAAGCTCGTTTCTAATAAATTTCGCGAAATGACTTACTTTACGTTGAACGAAACGGAAATATTATTTAATGTATTACAAGATTTTATTAAATTAAATTATAATTAATTATTTTATGAACATTTACATATCAGGAGCTTTAAAAAATGAATAAATGCAATATTTAAATTAAATAATGCTGAAATTTAGGCAAGACGCACTGATGAAATTCATTCAACGTGTGCTAATTTCAAAAAATTTGTTGAATAGAAACGTCTCATAATATCACAATTTTTAATAAATTTAATAAAAAATAGCATTAAATATGTCAAGAATGTTTATTATTAAATTCCCGTATAACTTATTATGAAGATTTAAATATTGAATGAATCATCTCCACATGTTCATGTTCTATATCCTGCAATACTTAAGATTAAAAATGAAAGCGAAATCTTTAAAAATTAAATCGAAGGTTATCTCACAGCTTTAAACCAACTCGAATCAAAATAATAATTGTTAAAATATTAAATTTTTACATTAAATGATAAAAGTTTGATGAAATCTATACTAAACATTATTCTTTTATGCATGCATTTAATGCTAATTAAAGATACAGTAGTTAAAAATTTGCTACTTCTGCAAAATTTCATAGCTTAATTTAAAAATGAACATTTTAAAAACATAAAAATATCTTTGCCCACAGCATATAAACTTCGTATCGATTGCATCTTGGAACAGGTTGGCGAGTATCTATTGTGTAATAAAGAGCATGAGTCAGGAGATGCTCGAAGGAGATGCAGCCCTTGTGTCTAATGCTCCTAAGTATAGAGGACGAAGTGAAATCATTATAGACCCAAAATAAAAGTTTAAATTAGTTCAAGGAAAGCGGAAGCTGGCAACATATCTGCTTTTACATCTCAAAAATTTTCACTTTACTTATTTCTAAAAGTTGGATTCTCAGACTTTTGATATTGTTTATATTTTAGAATATTTTGATAATTTACCAGCCTCAAAGTATAGATAAATCGAAATAAAATTTATCGAATGACAACTTTAAATGTAAATGCTCATTTAAAACTAACCAAAATATAATTAAAAATAAAAATATTTATTTTCAAAGTAAAGATATAATTTTTCAATTTGTTTAATGAATTATATTGAAGCAGACTTGACTCTCAGCTTCGAAAAATCACTTTACGAGTAAATTAGATTCGAAATTAGAAAAGAAATTAATTAAATTTATATAAAATGAATTATAATAAAGTTTGATTATAAGAATATATGTAATTAAAATTAAAAAAATTAAATTTTAATTAGTGAAAATTCAGTAAAATATTGAAACTTTTTCAAATTGCGACCATTTATTGCGGTTTAAATAAAAACTTTAAAAACCAACCATCATCACCATAAAGCAGTTTCTTAAACTTCTATCGATTAAATTTAAAAATACAAATGCCNTATACTAAACATTATTCTTTTATGCATGCATTTAATGCTAATTAAAGATACAGTAGTTAAAAATTTGCTACTTCTGCAAAATTTCATAGCTTAATTTAAAAATGAACATTTTAAAAACATAAAAATATCTTTGCCCACAGCATATAAACTTCGTATCGATTGCATCTTGGAACAGGTTGGCGAGTATCTATTGTGTAATAAAGAGCATGAGTCAGGAGATGCTCGAAGGAGATGCAGCCCTTGTGTCTAATGCTCCTAAGTATAGAGGACGAAGTGAAATCATTATAGACCCAAAATAAAAGTTTAAATTAGTTCAAGGAAAGCGGAAGCTGGCAACATATCTGCTTTTACATCTCAAAAATTTTCACTTTACTTATTTCTAAAAGTTGGATTCTCAGACTTTTGATATTGTTTATATTTTAGAATATTTTGATAATTTACCAGCCTCAAAGTATAGATAAATCGAAATAAAATTTATCGAATGACAACTTTAAATGTAAATGCTCATTTAAAACTAACCAAAATATAATTAAAAATAAAAATATTTATTTTCAAAGTAAAGATATAATTTTTCAATTTGTTTAATGAATTATATTGAAGCAGACTTGACTCTCAGCTTCGAAAAATCACTTTACGAGTAAATTAGATTCGAAATTAGAAAAGAAATTAATTAAATTTATATAAAATGAATTATAATAAAGTTTGATTATAAGAATATATGTAATTAAAATTAAAAAAATTAAATTTTAATTAGTGAAAATTCAGTAAAATATTGAAACTTTTTCAAATTGCGACCATTTATTGCGGTTTAAATAAAAACTTTAAAAACCAACCATCATCACCATAAAGCAGTTTCTTAAACTTCTATCAATTAAATTTAAAAATACAAATGCCATTTACCTTTTACATTTTTTTAAAATTATTTTTATATGATTCACTTATTTTTTTTTTCTTTTCGGACAACTTTAGTCTCTTCAGGCATGTTGTTCCCTTTGTCAGTTCAATTTTTTTTTCCTCTTTTGTTTATACGTGAAATGTATCTCTAATTCTTTCCATCAATAAAGAATTGTTATATTCTATTGTAATTTTCGGATAATTCATTTCGGTAATTTGAATCTAGATGAAAGCTACCGATGTAATCGCCAAAAAATAAAATCCGCATACAATTGTCAATTTTTTTAATCCCTTGCGGAACCTTCTAAAGCGGTAATCCGAATTATCATATTTATCAATGTATTGCGTTTTGAATTTCGCATTTTAAGTTAAACTTTTTTCTTAAAAAAAAAAGACTAAGACTTTAAATATGTTAAGATTTTCCGACTTGGCACCAGCATTATCTCTAATTTTTAATTCTTTGCTGTGTTTTTTTTTCCTGTCAACTTCTGTGGAGAATGCTTCATATATATATACGAGGACTTAAAATGAATATTTGATTGGACATCTTAACGATAATCATGGAGAAATTGATAAATGACTCCCTCATATTATCCGCACCTGTCGCTATCTTTCCATCTTCAATGAGAAAGAGAAAGAATTGACTTCAGCGATTAAATTTCCCACCCTCCAATGTTTCATTCGAAACGAATATCCGCATTCTTCAGGAAAAATAAATTCGTCATGTAAAGTTGATGTGCCTTATAAGTAATGAAAGATAATATTTAAGATACGAGAAGCCCGTTTGCTCTTCGAATCCCCCTGCGGGATCTTTTACTCTGTAATTATTCACACCCAACTCGTATCACTCATTTCCACAAGATTCTATATTCAAGTAAGTTATGAGGGTGCGTTCTCCTATACGAAGCTAGAAGCTACTTGAGGTGTGGCGAATTAATAGTTACTCTTCCGAGTCTAAAGGGTTTACCGAATCTTTCTTCTCTTTGCAGCTAATTAGGGAGGATAAGGTTTCGTGATAAACCATTATTCTCTTTATTCTAACAGTTTTTCTTTTACTATTGTATATTCTAAGCAGAACTAATTATCGTAAGCTTCTTATAAATTTGCAATATTTACAATGGAGAATCTCATAACCCTTTTTATAAAATGGAAATTATTTAATAATGAGAAAATGAAGCGATGAAGAAAGAAGAAGAAAATTGATTTTTCTTGCATATTCAATTCGAAAATTGTGTAGAGAATGTGTTCAGCATTTAAATTTTTATTATTGAACAGTTATATTTAAATTTCTTTTAATAATTTAATATTATTTTGTTTTAAAAATATATATATATACAGTAATATTTTATATTGATGATAAAAGTAAATTAAAATTTTCTATTGTTTATTATAATATTAAAATCTTAGTACTTTTGACTTATTTAAAAAGTTCTCTAATTGTTATAAAAACAAAATCCAAACTGGCATATAAAATAGTTGAAAATGTTTCTATAAATTTGGATATTTTGTTATCAATTAAAAAATCGCAATAAGTTTATTATTAATAATTAAAATTCTCGTCGTGTAGACGATTTCCAATATAATTATTGGAAAAATTTGATTTGATATTAGGATTTTTTCTAGTTACTTTGATTATAAAATAACCAAATACTTTTTTATTATTTAATCAAACATTTATATTCGAATATTTAATAATATAATTATTGTAATAACCCTTCATCACATACAATTACTTTTTATATAGGCCTGTATATAAATTATTCGATATTATACAGAAAAATTGCGAGAAAACGGAAAGTTTTTTTTTTAAGTGGAAAGTTTTTATTTTGTTAGCATTAAAAAGAAAATCCAAAATTGATTTTATGTTGGGGAATGTAAAAATGCAAATACCTGTCATTGTTCCATTCAGGAAATGTTTCAGATACTGCACTAAAAAAACGTCCTTGTCGGTAGCAAGGGTTGGAAGGTAACAATGACATTGAATTGGAAGTTCGGTTGTTAAAGTGGCGAAGTTTCTAGGCATACGACATTCTTGTCTAACAACAATCGGAGAAACGAAAGATATACGGCACATTGAGTATAATTTACGATGTAAAAGTCTCAATGTCAAGGACTTTTTTTACTTTCAATGGAGATAAATGGATGCCGACGTGGTTGATAAATTATTCAAATAGCATTTACAGAAACGAAAAAATTGCGTGCATTTATCAGAGGTCCCGAAGAGGAAAATCTCATTTTTGATATCATATCTATATCAAGATAATATATGTAAACACAGCTAAGAGAATGTCGAGTTATACGAAGTTCAAGACAGATATGTTATATAAAATGATAGCTAAACACGCTATAACTAGGCGTTATGCGTTATTGGATTGTGTCAATGGTCTGTAAAGGGAAAGGGGGAGGGTCCATCTTTTATCTAAATACTTGAGTATTATTCGATATTTATTTCAATACGAAGCGGGGGGGTCAATTCTGTTTACAGGAAGAAGAAAAGTCGACGACTTCTCATTATATGGAAGCAAAGATGAACGGTAATATATGCGTCTAGACTCGGATGTTTAGTCTGTGTTTGTGCATATTTCATTTTGTCTGTCATCGTCTGCTACCAAATTAACATAAGCTCGACAATAAGCGTTTCTTTTACCTTCGGTGCACGTTGGTCAATAGTTTTCACATGGCGTCAAGCCGTCTGCCGTCGGAGTCGAAGCTTATTGTCGGGACATAGGGAGGGTGAAAGACCCTTTCCCTTTTCAAACCAGTCTTGATTATAGTCGAAGTTTTAAGGTTGTACCATTTCTACGTTATGGTCTTTGGCCATTGACCTAACGGCAATAATAGTATAAAGCCAGGATCTTGTGCAGCTTACGTGAGAAACGGGAATGTGGCTTGTTATAAATCTTTACATTAATGTTGATTTATCAACTATACATAATTTTTTTTTGGTCAATGATGTTTCACTTGATAAACGTCATAAAGTCAATTTTATCTTTAAAACAGATGAGTTGCTAATGTTATTGAACCTCTAGGCGTGCTATAAAAATAACGACGTTTTCACTAACTAATTTGGTATCCTCTTACTGAAACAACATTATCAAGTGGATCCGAGATTTGTTATTTAAAGAATTTTTTTTCGTTAATATGACCACATTTAAAAGATCTTAAATTAATTATTACTTAATATTCGAAGCTTAAAATAAATATATTTAACCTCGAAATATTCATAAAATTTGAATATTTTAAACATTACTTACATTCATTGGCGTGTTTGGTATTGCAAAATTATATTTTATAGTAAATAAATTATTACTATAGAAATGATTTAATAATAATTACAGTTTGTGAATGCCCGTAAATCCATATACCAAATACAACCTATAATACAGTATATTAATAATGAGAAGAAATCTGTATTGAAAGACTAAGAAAGTACAATACGGTACCTCGGGATCTGACACAGAAGTCTTCACCATGTTACAGGAAGCGTATATTGATCAATATTCTTTTTTTTCAGAACCCTTTTTCATCATATTATTAATAAGAATAAAGAAGCCTATTGTTCTATACTAAAAAAATTTATATCATATAATCCAAGAGATATTTGCCGGGAATACCCACGAGTAAAATGAGAATCCCTCTTCACGCACGTTATGCCACGAATAATCGCGTATCCCGTTTCGATTAAATTGTACTGTACAGCTCTTCAGTGCAGTAATCTCCCACTTTCTTCAAAGAAAAAATTAAATTAAATATTTAACATAAGAATTTATGAATATAACGAAATGTTGAGTACACTACAGTATATTTTATGTTGTTATTCTCTAATTGTATCTTTATTAATGTCAATTTTTTTGTTGTATTCTTTTCAGGTGATACTCTATCATTATTAGATAGTTACGAAGTCTTTATACCAACTGTAGTCGACAGCCGAGGACAATTTTTAAGTTACGATGTCAGGCATAACCAGCTGAAAAAACGCCTCCCCATTAGGCATAAAAGAACTGTATCCAGTTTTCCACTCGATCCGGTTTTCTTCAAAATAAAGTTAGAAAATAAAGAATACCTACTTAATTTGACGGAAAATAGTCTATTATCTGGTAGAAATTCCATTTTGGAAGTATGGCATCCCGATAGCATAGAGAAGCGCAACTTCACTTACCATAAGTGCCATTATTACGGTCACGTAATCGGGGAAGAAAACTTTTCTGACGTAATGATTAGCAATTGTTACGGCCTGGTAAGAATAATTATCATTCAAAAGTAGAAAATTTAGTAAAATTAATGAATTTTATCTTTTAATTTAAATCTTAATTATCTGTTTTGAATGCAATTTCTTTTTTACAAACGGCTACTTTAATCGTTGGCAAATGTAATAAACGAAGAATAATTTTCGGATTTAATGCTAATTTTAGAGCACTTATCATCTTAATTTTCTTCTTTCTTTAAAGATTAGATGCAAATAAGATATTTTTATGGTTTAAGGGAAGAAAGAGGGATTATTGACCTTGGGAATTTTTTTTTTATACTTAATTCCTTTTTGACGTTTTAAAGCTCTTTTTATGGTCTGTCAAATGCCAAGTTGAAAGCTATTTCTTATTCCGATCTTTCTTATTCAAATTTTAACTTTTAGTAAATATAATGCAACTTTATTAAAGTTTCCGAACGTGGTCTCTTCAAAAGATTAAAGTCACGAGGTCACATCTTTTTCATTCTATGCCATTTTTCTTTTTTTGCTTTATCTGACCTAGGCCCATATTTATTTATTTTTTTATATTATTATTATTATTGCCACGTGGACTAACAAAATTATGACTTTCAAAATTTATTAAATAAGAAATTTTTAACGAAATAACTTCTAGATGTTTAAAAAATTGTAAATTCGACGCTGTTAATAATGACAATGAGTATATTTAGCTTCAAAAATAAATGTACTTAAATTAGTTAAGATGTTTTTTTTTCAAATATAAGTATCAATTGAAATTAACCAAAGATTTCGGAGAAAAACGTTACAAAATTTGACAATTGTGGGGTAAAAAAAATAATAAAGTAAATCGAGAACTTCATTAAAATCTTCAGTGAAGTGTTCACTTGGTGAGACCATATGGCTAGACGGTGTTGATAGATAATGACATCGATCCCGTTTTAACTTGGCTGTCATCTTATCCGATTTTTAATGATTCGAAATAATCATGATAATATTAAATAACTGTATGAATGAGAAGAGTGTAACGACCTAATTTTTATAATTTCACCTATTTAGCTCCGTATTCTTTAAAAGAAATGAATAAATTATGTTTTTGTGGTACTTACAATAATTTATTTCTCTTTTAAAGTTCAATAATATCATTTTTTTTAAATATTTAAATTAAGAACTTTTTGAAGAATGCTTTAACACAGAAATGAATGGAAGTTATGGGATAATAAATTAACGTTCAATCGATAATTTTTTATTATTTGCACGATTCATTCATTCTCTTTATTCTGTAAATTATTTCTCTGAACAATGAATGAATAGTGAAAAATTTTTGACTGACAAGTACATTTTAAACATTACGATCAGATAATGACCTTTAATTTATTTTTTTTCAGCACGGAATATTCTCCATTTCTGGTCAGGAGTATGTCATTGAACCTTATTGGAATCATACCAACGACGTGCTTACACAGGGTCATCCTCATATTTTGTACAAGAGAACCTCACTCGACTTCAAAAGGAAGTTCAAAGGTGAAGGAGTGTTCCTTCTCACAATAATAATTTAAAGTGACCAAATTCAATTTATTTAAATATTTATGTTTTAGGTATGATGTTAGATTGTTTTTAAGCATTGCAAGAGAAAAATTTATAGCTTAGGGAAGTTTTAAAATGCTAATCCCCTAAGGCACGTAATAGTTTAACTAAAGGCGAAGAAAAAAAAATTCATTTCTTAAATTTATATCGTTAAATTTCTTAATAGTTTGTTGAAAGTTTTACAGACTTTCAACATGGGAAAATATTAAAACTCTAATAACATAAATTTAAAAGTAATATTTTCTCTAAGGAGGTTCAAATAGGTAATTTACCTGTCACTACGTTTTCAAGTAAACTTTTCCGGATTTACAGCTTGTCGAGACAATAGTATCTGGTAAGCATAACAAGCTGTTATTTGCAAACTCATCTGTCAGCGAGAACATGTTTAAAAATCAAAATTTTGTTCCTCATTCGAAGAGTGACCCGAAAATATAAAGAATAAGTTATCTCGTTGAAGTGAGATCATATCAAGAAATTAGGTTGGATAAAGACCCGAGGCATGGAACCAATAGTTTTTATGACTTTCTGCTATCTAAATGGACTCGATCGTAAACTTCTGTGGTGAAAGACTTGTCTTGGTAATATTTAAGACCTCCTACGGTTTCTGCAACCTCCCACGGGACAAATTTCTGTCATCCGATAAGATCGACAAATCTTAACGACTTGTTTTGCACACATTTTCAGCAAAGGGAATAGACGTGACCAGAATATTGCTTCAATTATGCCTTTCCCTTATTAAATTGCGTCCGACTCTCGTATTGGATCGAAACAACTTTTATTACTTGTCTTGCAGGAGGGAGATATGCCACCTTTGCTCCAACAATTTGTTGAAGTATGAGATGAGCTCTACTGCCGTTCTTAATGCTGTTTTGACCTTTATGATATTAAATCTAAGAAATGTTAATATCGTATTTCACTTTAAAATTAGAAACATTTTTATAACTTTCTATTTGATGATAGATATCTGCTTTATTTTAATACAATTTATCACACAAGTTATATTGTTTGGAAAATATCGTTTTAATTGTTATTAATATTATTTTTTTATGTGAATAATTATACTTTAAGCTAATAATTCACCTTTAAATTGTTTAACAATTGCATTTTCATTATCTATTATATAATTTATAATAAATAAGTATTTAATGGATAGGGATGAAACTCGGATCTTTTACATCCAGTAAAGTCATGATGAAGACTTAAAAAACGATTTTTTGGCAGGTGTCCTGCGAATAACCGTGATGTAACTAATATTTTTTTTTCTTCTTTCGTATTTAAACAAACTCGCTAGTACAATTACATTTACACAGACGTGTTATTTATAACTTTTCCCTTCATGACAAACTGACAACAGAAGCATCTTAATCAGGGTTTTGACGTCCGAGAAATAGAGCCTATACCTCTTTTTGAGATATGGTTCCTTGTCCCTAAAGCAAAAAGTCTACGTTGGCGGTCTCTTCATAACGTAGCTCTATATTTAGATAACTTATTTTACCCGAGATAATTACTAACAAGATAAAACAAGTTATTCCAGGAGAGAGCATCTAAACTAAGAAAAGTCCTCTTTGAAATTAATATTACGAAGTAAAGTCTCTTCTAGATGAAAGTAGAGATGTTGAAATAACTCATTGCATCTTTCATTTGACCTAAATAAAATAAAATAATTCGTTTCATTAATAAAATTAATTAATTTCATTCATTACTGATTTGATTGATTAATTTAATACTTATTATGAGAATTATTAATGTTAAAATATAATTATTATATTTTTATAAATATAA